GCCTTAGGGAAGTGGTAGCAGGTACCTGTCAAATTCGGGTACCCGCTCCCCCCCCCTGCTCCCGAGAGATGCCAATCCTTGATGGGGTGCGGGGGGACAAAGCCTTAAAGCAGAACTTCCCCTTTTGGGTGGAGCTCTGCTTTAAGAAGAATTTGTTTTTCCCCTGCTGGAGCAAATTGGGTCATTTATTAGTGTTTTTTTTTAACCTTCCTCTTGATCAACTGTGGGTATAAGATTGTGTATATGTTTGTATTTGTTTTTTATAGTTGGTTGAACTAGATAGACTTGTGTCTTTTTTCAACCTGACTAGCTATGTAACTATGCTGAGACAAACAGTTCATTCCAGGTCAGTAATATACATAGACTATGAGGTTTATTTACCAAAGCTGGTTTACTCAGAATCTGGTGCAGCTGTGCATGGTAGCCAATCAGCTTCTAATCTCAACTTGTTCAATTAAGCTTTAGCAATAAAACATGGAAGTTGATTGGTTTCTATGCAGAAGTGCACAAGATTCTGCGTGAACCAGCTTTAATAAATAAACCCTTTTGCCTTGCTTCACAAGACCATTCATTTGCATAAGAACTAACAGAGATGTGCACAATGGAAACATTTGTTTAGTTTCGGATTGATTTGTTAAGTTAATAATCTTGTTTTATCATATTTGTTATGTTAGAATGATTCTTTTTCGGAATCAGTTTTGTATATTTGGATTCACTTTGTATAGTCATTATTTTCAAATCGATTCGAATTTTGAAAGTGGAATTCAAAATTAAAATTTTGGAAGATGGCTATATTTGTTCTATTCTATAACCACTTGACCTCCAGAAGATTTACCCCCCTTCCTGACCGGACCATTTTCTGCCATTTGGCACTGCGTTACTTTAACTGACAATTTGGGGTTTATTTACTAAAGCTGGAGAGTCCAAAATCAGACTCCCTTCTGCATGGAAACCAATCAGCTTCTAACCTCAGCTTGTTCAATGAAGCTTTGGCAATGAAACCTGGAAGCTGATTGGTTTCTATGCAGAAGGGAGTCTGATTTTGGACTCTCCAGCTTTAGTAAATAAACCCCTTTATGTCATTGTTTTCCCAAAAATACAGCCTTTTTTTTGGTGGTATTTGATCACCACTTTTTCTATTTTTTGCACTTAAGACAAAAAAATGATTGACAATTTTGAAAAATAAAACAAAACAATATTTTTAGTTTTCTGCTATAAAACATATCGAATAAAAAAATAAAAAAAAAATCTAATTTCTTCAAAAATGTAGACCGATATGTATTCTGCTACACATTTTTGGTATAAAACATCCCAATAAGCTTATATTGATTGGTTTGCTCAAAAGTTATAGCATCTACAAACTATGGGATTTATACTGGAATTTTTTTTATTCTAGTTATGGCATCAATTGGTGACTTATAGCTAGACGGCGATATTGACATTTTTACACAAACTGACACTTTGTGGGAACCAGTGACACTAATATAGTGATCAGTGCTAACAATATGCACCAACACTGTACTAATGACACTGGCTGGGAAGGGGTTAAACATCTAGGGCAGTCAAAGGGTTAACTGTGTGCCTAGCTATGTGTTTTCTGTACACTAAGTGCTGCTTTTACTGATGGAAGTGATGGATCTTATTTCCTGCTTTTCAGGGATACAAGATCCATCACTTCCCCCCTCCCCATTCTGTGTCTCCACCTGACCATCTGCAGGTGCCGGTGGACATCCACTGCCCAGCACCCACAGATCAGTTTCTGCTGTGAATAATTACAGCCAAAGCAGCTCACCAGCAGCACGCATAAGCCTAAGTAGGAATCATCATGTAATTGCACTCTTATACCTTACTGTATTTATTGCAATGTGTTTCCATTTGGAATTCAAATTCATTTTCAAATTCAGATAACTTGTTTTGTTATAATGTATATGGATTTGTTGAAATGTGTTACTATTGTGATCTGAAAATTCGGATACATCCGAATATCTGAATACCGAAAATATTGTTTGAATTTTGATTCATAATTAAACAAATTGCACATGTCTAAAAACTAAAAATGGATGAAATTGAAAAGAAAATGTTACTTCATTTATTACTTTATTGTTTGTACAACTTTGCAATGCTTTGTACCAGAATAATAAACGGGACAAATTATTAAAATACAATTTATCATTTTTATCTACTAATTATTTTTAAGCTAACACTGATAAATAGAAAACAAACTGTTTTTCTAGATTTGTTTTTTTTGTTTTTGAATTGCATTAACATTTAAATACTTTTCTAAGATAGTATCAGTAAAAGAAAACCTCGTTTGTCTTAAAAAAACCCCAAAAAACTAAAAGTAATGACAAAGTGATTGCCAATATAATAGACCCATAGTAGAAATGTAAAAATTGCTTTGGTCCATGGGGGGTGTACTGGTATGAGAGCTGAAGTGGTTAAGGGACAGATTGCAAATATACCCCCCACATAACGTATAATCGGTACATCTCTGGAAAAGGAATGATAAGAAATAATAAGCCTGTATGCTGTGGAAACTTTTCCTTGTTTCAGTATGAGTACATCTGAATAGAAAAAAACCTAGACAATCGCTTGAATTATTTGTAAAAATATAAAAAAAATATAAAAATGCATTTGCCTGTTACTTCTTATATTATGACCTGACAGAACATAGCAAAGTATTCAAGTACAACTCTACGCCACAGTATATAGAACGGTATAAATGACAGGATGAGAATCCACACATTATTTTAACCTCTTCATGCCGGCCGCATGCAAATGTGCGGCCTCCCAACGTCTGGGCCTTGATTTGAGTGCAATTAACAAAAACATATGTGCTGAGAGCGTGCACCAAGAGCGCTCCCGCACACATGTCCGGTACTCGCGGAAAGGTCCCGATCTCCTCTTTGATTGGGACCTTTCCCAATCATGTGACCTCTGTGACCGCGAATCACGGCGGTCACATGACCTTAAAACCCCTCCCTGGCTCCCGGCCTCTGAAACTCTTAAAGGGCTGGGAGGCGCCGGTGCCAAGGGGTTAAGATTGTTTGAAAGTAAGCAGTCATCGTTTTAACCTAATAAAATATCAAAGAGATACTGTATCCAAGTAAAGATCCACTTGAGAAGTAACATTGTATTGAGTGCGTAACTAAAACAGCTTAACCCCTTGACGCCGACATAACACAAACATGTGGCCTCACAGAATTGGGCTTTTTTCTGTGGGGCCGCATATTTGTGTACCTGTCTTTGTGCTGGGAGCGTGCCACAGAGCACGCTTGCAGCACAAAGACTGCGGTGTCACTGAGAGCACCGGGTCCCGTTCTTACGATCGGGACCTGGGACTCCCGATTCTGGGTCACATGATCGCTGTGATAGCCTACTGTATCAATTAGCTGTGAAACCTGAGCTTCAATCCGCACAGCACATGTGTAAATTAGCGCTTAGTCTATCCTGTGTTCCGCATAGGCAGTCAGGGCAGTAGGGTGCAGTAGAGACAGATGGCTGCCTGACTTTTAACATTACAACCTGACAGGGCTGTACAAATGCCATGGCCAAGCTGCAGTACTTTTAACTCAGGCTACAGTGTTTGACAGGTGGCACCACAGGTCAAACTTGCTATAGTAACTCAGACCAATAAGGCTGCATCACTACCGTGAGCCAAAAGCCAAGAGCAAAAAGCAATGTAAAATTGCTATTCGGGAATTTTAAAAAAAAAAAGCCAGGCATCGGGAGGCAGCAGTAGTGCCACTGTCAGCCACTGCTATACTGCTCTCTTAATAGCATTCCACTGTGGAATGCTTTTCATAGGGCGTAAGCAAAAGTACCCAAGAACCCTTGATCATCTAAGTCTGGCCATAGATGGATCATATATATATATATATATATATATATATATATATATTCTTTATTTTTCCATGATATATAGGAACAAAACAGGTCAAATAGATATCAGGAAAATACAAGTTTCGATAACTAATTATATTACATATACAGTACTAAGGTTTACTGTAATTTCTACACAAGGAAATATGTAGGTATCTATGTATATAGGTAAATATGTATGTAGGTAGGTATCATTTTTTTTCTTGTTAAGATTTCGTTTTGATCAAGAAAATTTTCCCAAGCCTGAGCAGGGGCTGCCACACATCGATAAAAATTTGGCCAGTCCCTGCTGAACCAACTGAATTTTGATCCATCAATGGCCAGTTGAGGTTTGTGCTGGAAAACACTTGTAATTACTTTGCCACTATGGTGCACACTTCATATCTAGAGGCTGTCATATTATACCTTTTTGGATGAAAAAACTTCTCCATTCGTAAATCTGAAACTCATAATTCTTGCCTATTAAGTGACATGTTGGTTTGACCAGTCAAGTATTTTCAGTCAGTAAAATTTAAGCCACATTTTACATGTTAATTTTAATACATTAGTACCTTATGCATCCCAGAGATACACGCTGTGATGATTAATTGCTAATGAACATCAGAAGCTTTAATTGGAATGTGCAGCAAGATGCATTGAAGAGATGATTGATTGGACTCAGAACTCGCTGTTAAGAGACGTCTTGCCTCATGAATAATATCAGTCTGAAAAATTCATTGTTCACTGAGAAAAAAATGGAAAATAAAGAAGAAGCAACCACAGACATCAGTAAGGCTTTCATAGTCCAAGAAACAAAGCTGCCACACAAGTTACAATCTAATTGCACAATCTGCCTTAGGTTTATCAGCAACTATTTAGCGCCAGGCCTTACCTAAACAACGGTTCAATTTATATCCCGGTAGGTCATCATACTGATGACTGATAAATCAACAGGAGGCTAGGATACAATCTATGAAAATACATATACCCTGTTGACAGACAGTTCATTTAAAAAATAATCTTATGGGATCAGGGGCGGACTGACAACTCATGGGGCCCCCGGGCAATAGGGGATCATGGGGCCCTTGGTCCTTGCCCAAACTCAAAAAAGACTATGAAAAAGGTACCAGGGGCATCTCATGGGGCCCCCTACTGACCCCGGGCCCTCGGGCAGTGCCCGAGTTTCCAAATGGTTAGTCCGCCCCTGTATGGGATGTGCATTTAACATATATTGTGCATGTTATTTACTTGTGAAATGTTTCCTTGTATAGACATTCAAAAGCCCTGGGACTGCTGCTGGGTGCCTCCATGTTGGATGTGATGTCAGTGGTCCCACCAGACTCACAGTGACACACTATAGTATTCCCCTTCAATTCTTACCTGGCTGCTACTTAAAATGTTTTGAAGGGAGGTAAGGTGAAGGGCAGAGGAGCTGGGTGGTTTTCTGTGACAAGGTGTCTTTACCTGCTTTCCCGCCACCCTATATTAGATATATTGCTACAGGGTGGCAGGGGTGCATAAAATCAAGTATATATATGTGATTTTGCATTTACATTTTACATTTGCAGACGTGGTTGTCAATCATTAGGTCCCGGACGGTAATTACTCGCTGGCGCCCGGTGATTACTAACAGTCCTCCTCCCTGTCAGCTCGGGCACACTGGTCTGGATGGCTATGCACAGCACAGCCATCCAGAGCAGTGTGAATACAGATAAACACACACACCACTCCCTAGTAAAATACAGTTATGAGGAGGGAGCAGGGGGTGGGGCCAAGCGGTAATAGCCGTTTCAATAGACACACACAGTCTGGTTTGGTATCACACCTACACATGTGCCACCATAAAAAGTGCCTTCCTTTGGTGGCACACGAAGAAAAGGAGGAGCTGAGAGTGACGGTGGAGGACCACAGTAGAGGAGGTTTGGGGTCGCTCTGCAATACCATGTTTGTTATTGAAAAAAAATGAACCTTTACTATCACTTTAACTCAGACTGACATAGGTGAGGGAATTCTCAGGTAAACCTAGCTTCTGGCAATGATATAAAAAACCATAACCACTTAGGAAAGCTTAGCTTTGAGCAAAAGATCCCTCAAAAACATTTTCATTTGACAGCTGCATTAGTTGTTGGATCGCGCTGAGTCTGCATAACAGACCATTTTATTGCAGTAACACGCTGCTTATACAGATATACAATACATAACATGGCATATCACAGATGGGTTATTCAAGTACTATAATTATAGTCCAATGAAAAAAAAAAAAAAAAAAAAAAAACTTTTCTACCTACTCCACCCACCCCAACCTAAACATTTTTTGCTTTTTTTAAATTGAGCTGAAAGCCCCAATTAAAATAAAAAGTAGTAATAGCAGAAACCAATACTATCCAATCAGATTTCTTATTTTCTGAAGTCAAATCACTGAAAGATGAAGTCACTTTTTATGTGTTACTGACTTTTCTTTGTTGGGTAGGCTGGCTTGCATGCATTGCGCTCATTTCCTTCAGATCTTTCATGAAGACCTCCTGAGCATTCCTACAAAAAATCATTTAAAATAATATACCGCCCGGATAATAGGGGACCGCTCTCCTGTCTCTTTAATACCAGGATACATTTTTATATTATAAAAACTTCAAAGAATTCAGGTCTGGGAGGCTAGACACCGCTGTGGATAGAAGACAGGGGACAACAAAAGAAAGGAACTTTACAAAGATTACTAAAAATATGCTCTTTCAGGTAGATATGTTCAAAGTACTTCTCAGGTGGTATGACAAATGTCAAGCCAAATGTATCACCTCTTCGCTTCGGGGGGGTGCCAAGCTCAGAGTACTTTTGGGAACATTAGTGAGATGTGTTAATCTGCCAGAAATCTTCGCAAGCAAAAATTCACAGTTGTACAAAAATAAACCGTACATTTCACATCAATGAAGGGTATAGTGCAGTTATGCAATAGTAATACTTTGTAGGTTTTGTAATAGAACAAATGAAATACTATACGTACTTTTTTCATTTTGGGATGAGCCCAACTGCCCTGGGTTTAGTTTGAGCAGGGTTTGGCCAACAAACCTGAACCCCATTGAAGCCATTGGAAGCCAAATCTGTCAAATTAACCACTTCCACCCAGAGGATTTACCACTCTTACCGACCAGGCCTGGCACTGTGCTGCGTTACTTTAATTGAAAATTGCGTGGTCATGCAACGCTGTACATAAATTAAATTTATGTCCTTTTTTCCCACAAATAGATCTTTCTTTCAGTGGTATTTGATCACCTGTGAGGTTTTTTTTTTTTTGCGCTATAAACAAAAAAAGACTGACAATTTTGAAAAAAAAAAAAACAATATTTTTGACTTTTTTCTATAAAACATATCCAATAAAAACATTTAAAAAATCAAATTTTGTCATAAATTTAGGCAAAAATGTATTCTGCTACATGTCTTTGCTAAAAAAAAGTCAAAAACGTGTAATTAATTGGTTTACATGAAAGTTGTAGCGTTAACAAATGGTGGTATAGATACTGGAATTTTTTCTTATAGTAGTAATGGCAGCTTATAGTGGGACTGCGGCGGGCATTCCGACACTGGGGGGAAACTGACTAACTGCCACTGACATCCTCAGTGACACTAATACAGTGACCAGTGCTAATAAAAAACACTGACACTGTACTAATGGTACTGGGCAGGAAGGGTTTAACATCTGGGGCGATCAAAGGGTGAATTGTGTGTGCAGATACAATACAGCATGTCCATGCTGACAGGAGAGAGACCATGTCAGGAGAGACAGCATATCCAGGCTGACAGGTCTCTCCCCTGTCAGCTTTCCCCGACGATTGCTGGGTGCCAGTGGGGAATCGCAGGCCAGCACCTGGTGATTGACATCCCTAGCCGCCAATGGTTAAACATGCCTGGTTTCTGGGCTAATAGGCAAGGAGGTGTCATAAATAGCAAGGGAGTAGCCACTGCCCTAGGGAACATGTACCAATGCAAACAAAATTTCTAAGAATTCAATTCAACTGAGAGCAGTGATTGTTTTTTTAAATAGTTAAAATGAAAACATTAAAAATGCCCAATTTATTTACATAACATACCTGGGGGGGTCACTTAATCTTGCCTATGGAGGGGCTCATCTCTGTGATGTACAAAAAGTGCTGTGGAAGCACTGACATTTATAAAGGAAAAAAGTGTTTAAAATTGCCGGCAAATAACATTTCATTGCCGTCTACTTTTAATTAAAAAAAAAAAAACAGCACACACCCCTTCAAAGGTATTTTGGGGGACCTTTGGAGGGGTTTGCTTTGATTTCCTTGTACATATCACTTTTGCTGTAGCACATCCTACAGCAAAAATGAAAAGAAAACAAAAAACATACAGGTACAAGACCCATTGATTTTAAGGGGGATCTTCACACACAAAAAAAGCAAAAAGAAGCTTGAGGTCTCTCTAAAAATCCATACCAGACCCTTAATCTGAACATGCAGCCTGGCTGGCCAAGAAACAGGGGAAACAAACTTAAAAATCCCCTCTGGACCATACCAGGCCACATGTCCTCAACCCTGTCCAATGTTGGTAAGATTGATAAGGACAAGGGCTTCTTCCCCACAACCCTGGAAGGAGGTTGTGGGGGTCTTCAGGTGGGGAGCTTACTGGATGCCCCCAGGTACTTAGTGCCCCTACTTATTTACAAAAAAAAATAGGATGTCACCTAAAAATGAAGACATCCAAACATTTGACAAGTCCTTTACTAAACAAAAATAAAAATCCCCCCAAAAAGTCCCTCAAGCATCATGCCCGCCGCCCGGCAATAATCCAGGAAAAAAAAAACAATGGCCGATCTTGATGCCACCACTAGCTGAATAACAGCACCTGCTTCTTTAGCAACCAATGACAGCTGGAAGCTGTTGTGTAAATCCACACTGAACACCATAAATGTTTGGCTCTCATTTGAATGTCCAAACAGCCAGTGTTCAGTTTGAGCTTTTTTTTTGGACCAAATACTGAGCCTATCCCTACTCACCATATTGAGGGAAGGGAGGAAAACTGGCGGGATCAACAGGTAAACATTTACTCACATCAATATTAAAAACCTTAAACATCCTAATTTACAAGGCATTAACCCTTTTGCTGCCAGGCGGAAGCAGTCAGGTGACTGCGCTGTCACCCTATTGCTTTCACACCCACCCCTGGTAGTGGTGCCTCCCGCACCCACACGCACCCATCTGCCCACATGGTGGGTGCCAGCGGGTGGAGCGGAGAGAGATGAGTAGACGCACGTCCAGTCTCCTCCCCTTCTTGCTGTAACCTGGAAAGCAATGTGTATGATGTCACTTCCGGGTCACCAATGCGATCTGTATTGTAATACATTCAGTGGAGCCCAGAGGAGACATGCAGGGACTTTTAGACCCTGCATGTCCCATTAAAGAGAACCCATCACCTAAAAATCATCACATAGGGGACTTTGTGTCCCTTATGTAATGAAAAAAAAAAGTTAAGCAAAAAAATTTTTTTTATCGCAAAGAAATAAAGTTATACCAACATAACCCCCCCCCAACCATTTTGATGCCCCCACCCCCACAAATACGCATGTACAAATGTAAATGCACACTCCGGGGGCACCTACATGTGAAAATGTTCATTGCTACTTACGGTGGAGTGAGAGCAATAATTCTAGCACAAGACCCCCTCCATAGCACTAAATTGATGACCTGTCTTTTGAAGCGTTGCCTACAGAAAATATAGGGTACTGAAGTTTGTCGCCTATTCACAGGGACACACAAATTTAAGTTTGTTGGGTATCTATTTACTCGGTGCAACCTCATCTTTTATATTTTATCAAAAATGTGGGTAATTTAATATGTTTGTTTGCCCTAAAACTCACTTTTGCATGTTGTTTACACTTCTTAGACCTTTGCGGTAATATGGTGTGACCTAAAAAATTGGAACTACCACTATTTTATTCACTAGGGTGTCTGCTTTCAGGAAATATATAATGTTTGGGTGTTTTGTGTAATCTTCAGGCCTAAAATGGTTTTTTAAACATGTGCAAAAATATACAAAAAAACAAAAAAGTTAAGCAAAAAAATTTTTTTTATCGCAAAGAAATAAAGTTATACCAACATAACCCCCCCCCCAACAATTTTGATGCCCCCACCCCCCACAAATACGCATGTACAAATGTAAATGCACACTCCGGGGGCACCTACATGTGAAAATGT